CTTTTCAGATAATTGTGGATGTTCATCTTGGATACAAAAGTAAAACTATACAAATTGTAGTTTCTCAAAGGTTTTTTCCTCAGTGGACCTGAAACAATATCATTGACTATTTTCTATTCTGTTACATTAAAATCCATAAGCCTATTTTGCTCATTGAACATCTCTTGTACTAATACAAGATTTTTACAAAGTAATATATTGTTTCACTAAATTATACAGATCTTTCTGCTCATTCATTCTTTCAATAACATTTATTTTCCATGAAAAAGAGGGTAGTTCAGAGCACACAGAATTTTTTCTTGGGCCACAGGACTTTGAAATGTAGCAGAAGTGCTCGGTGTGTACTTTCCATGTCAACACAGAAGATACTTTCAAAATGTGTATTTAAGAATGATGATTAGGAAACATAGGATTTTTATTTAATTTATTTTAAAAATTTATTGAAGGATATTTGATATATAATGTTAATTTCTGCTGTGCAGCAAAGTGATTCACTTATACATGTGTGTGTATATATATATATATATATATTCTTTTTCATTTTTTTCCATTTTGACTAAGGACAGATAAGAATTTTTATCATTCTGGATGTTTTAAAGCAAACCTGATTATTAGTTTTCTTTTTTCCTGCAAGAAAGTTTTGGTGAAAATAATTACTTGTGCAGTTTGCTACCATAGTCCGTTACTGCTAAGTGATACATCAAAGCAAATGTCAACATAGTGAGAAGTCAAATAATATCTGAGTGATGCTCTGAAAGTAGGTTTCACCTCAGGAATCTCATGAAAGGGTCTCAGTGACATCAAGGGTTCCACAGGCCACACTCTGAGAACTGGTGTTCTGAATGAACCAGGGTGTCTCTCAACTGATCCCTTCCTTTGCCTCCTCTTCATTTCAGAAAATGCTTTTTCCTGAGCTGGACTCCCTGCCTCCCCAAATTTAACTGAGGGCCTTGCCCCTGGGCTGCTGCTCTAGGAGAGAACTCACCTCCTAGAAAGTGATGTCAGAGAGTGTCCTCAGTCTGAGAAGGAAAGTGGGGGGACAAGTGTTTCCTCTTTGGAACTGGGGATAGTTTGTACCCGAAGGCGCCAGACCCACTCATAACCTAGTTTGACTTTGTTACACACCAGCTTAAAATGTATTTATATCCCAGAAAAATAATATGGCCCTTTCATCTCATGTGGTCTAATGAACCTGAATTGAGGCCCGCAAATCATGAAGAGTGGTCTATTCCAACAGGACATCCTATGGTGAATGAACTGTTCTATGTCTGTGCTGTCCACTCAGGTAGCCTGTAGCTACATGAGGCTATTTAGCACCTTAAAGTGTCTGTTGTGCTGAGCACTTTTATTAATTTTAATTTAAATAGCAATATGTGGCTACTACCTAGCATACTGGTCAATGCATATCTAGAATGTTGTTAATTAATCTCCTGTCTCTTTCCCCTGAAAGATACTGTGTGACTCATAGGTTGACACACATTAAAATAATCTTAATATTGAAGTCATGGATTTGTCCGTGCAGGTCTTAGATATAGCTTTAAAATACAGCATGCTCTGAAATTTTCCTTAATGTGTATTTTAACAGAGTGTTCAGACATTAGCCAAACCATGGTTTATCAACTTAAGGTTGTAAGTGTTCAAAACTGCCCATCACCAGATATAATCCTTGAGCTCTTGGTAAATTTTCTTTAACTTGGTAAACATAAGGATCATACAGAAGTCTTCATTTAGCCCAAGAGGACGTGTTTATTGAACAAAACAGATATCACTACTTTGTGGGACTTGTACATACTTGTAAAGTTATGAAGCAGAAGATGCAATGTTAGAATCCACCACCTTATTACTTTTTACTTACTGCTCCTGCTATACTTTCTCCCCAAATTCCATCAGTTCTGTTTCCCTTCTCCCTTGGACCCCTCTCTCCTAGACAAAAATATCCATGAATTTTTAACACTTGTGGAATGAAGAGTTTTGTGACCCAAAGATGAAAAGCGATCAAAGCATATAAATCATTCCTATGTCAATTACTCACAAGATACAAACATATGCCCCTATTCCAATGGAGACACATAAACATTTTTGGCAAACAGGTGACATGACTCATTGTTCTTCAGCCAAAGACCACCAGGAGCAAATCTGTGGGCAGTCAAGTTGGATTTATACTGGATACAGCGAGGGAGATCACACAGCATCAGGGACGATAGTATCCTTGTAAGGTATTAGAACATATACAGCCAGGAGTCCCCAAACTCTGAGCTTGGACTGGTACCTCCTGTCAGATCAGTGCCAACATTAGATTAGAAGTAAAGTGTACAATAAATATACTGTGCTTGAATCATCCTGAAACCATTCCTCCCACCCCTGGTCCATGGAAAAGTTGTCTTCCATGAAATCAGTTCCTGGTGCCAAAATGTTGAGGACTGCTGATATCCAGGATGTGGGCTTTGATTTTGAGAAGCATCTATGCAAGACTGGCTCACTCTAGATTGGGTGTTGTTGGGAAGCGGGGGCAATTCTAGGACTGGGCACCTCATGAGTCTCTGCTGTAGGGAGGGCAGACTAGAGCGAGGACACAGCGGTGACTGGGAGGAGGCGGTGGTCTCTGGATCAGCTCAGGGGGAGGTTTGGTACATGGTGAGGGCACAGGGTTGCCTGGTTGGTCTGAGCTCGGACAGAATGCCGTCATGTTCTGGTTTTGTCTCTCTGTGTCACGCACTCAGATGTCCTTGTCTGATGCTGATCTTCTGTGAGATGACTTATGTCCAACAGGAAAACAACACAGACATGTGGTGAGCTCCAGCCCAGCTAGAGGATCAGAATGTACGTCCTAGGGTATGAGCTGAAGGTGACCTGTCAAGTGTTTACAAACTTAAGGGATTTTTAATCCCTTGTAATTTTTGAAAGCGTTACTTGTCAGCACACCAGAGAATTGAAAAGATACTCAGGCATATACAAAAATAAATAATTCATGTTCTCCCCCTCACTCCCCATTCACTCAAGTCCTCTACTCAGAAATAACTGCAGTTAGACATTTCTCATTTTTCTTTCCAGAGAAGTATACTGTTCATTAATGAATACTGTTAGACCAGTAGAAGAGCTCAGGCCACAGCCTGGAAGAAATTATTATAAATTCACTTATCTGATAAAGTGAAAGAAAAAAGTGAAGTCTCTCAGTCATGTCCGACTCTTTGCGACCCTGTGGACTGTAGCCTACCAGGTTCTTCCGTTCATGGGATTTTNGATGGAGGCCCCGGGTGTGGAGGGGGAGGAACCCTAGAGGAGAGGGTGGGGCAGGGTCACTGAGGGGAGGAGAGCAGAGGGAGGCGGGGTCTGTGTGGGGAGGGGCACAGGGGCTTCTGGCCTGGGCGCTGGGAGAGGCTCTGTTTTCCACCCAGATGATAAACACACTGGACGAGAAAATGGCAACCCACTCCAGTGTTCTTGCCTAGAGAATCCTGTGGACAGAGGAGCCTGGTGGGCTGCTGTCCATAGGGTCGCATAGAGTCAGAAACAACTGAAGCGACTTAGCATGCGTGCACGCATGTGTTGGAGAAGGAAATGGCAACCCACTCCAGTATTCTTGCCTGGAGAATCCCAGGGACAGAGGAGCCTGGTGGGCTGCCATCTATGGGGTCACACAGAATCGGACATGACAAGCAACTTAGCAGCAGCAGCAGATAAACACACAGGTGTCAGCTCTATATTTTGCTGGTAAACTATACTTATATTTTCGGTATTTTTCTGAAATTACATGCATCAGTTCAGTTCAGTCGCTTAGTCGTGTCCGACTCTTTGCGACCCCATGAACTGCAGCACTCCAGGCCTCCTTGTCCATCACCAGCTGCCGGAGTTTACTCAAACTCATGTCCATTGAGTTAGTGATGTCATCCAAAAATCTCATCCTCTGTTGTCCCCTTCTCTTCCCACATTCAATCTTGCCCAGTGTGAGGGTCTTTTCCAATGAGTCAGTTGTTCGCATCAGGTGGCCAAAGTATTGGAGTTTCAGCTTCAGCAGCAGTCCTTCCAATGAATATTCAGGACTGATTTCCTTTAGGATCGACTGGTTGGATCTCCTTGCTGTCCAAGGGACTCACAAGATTCTTCTCTAACACCACAGTTCAAAAGCATCAATTCTTCAGCACTTAACTTTCTTTATAGTCCAACTCTCACATCCTTACAGGTATGGTGTGACTCAAGTACAGGTGGAAAAAGGGAAAAGAGAAAGGG